AAAATTTCTTAAGATCTCTTCGAATATTTTTATTTTGGCGATAGAACCTACAACGTTTTTCGTATCGTCTTGTTCTCTGCGCCTTTAGCTGAAGTTTCTGCTTCAGCATTTCCTTGATTGATGGAATATCAATTAGGGATTTAATGTTATATTTCCGCTTGATCTTTTTGCATTTACGTGTGGAAATATTAGGTTTTCTGGTGAGCTCATCTAATATAGAAAGCTCACATCTGATTTGTTTTATCTCTTGAATCAGTTTGGTTTTCCAAGCTGGTTCTCCGTGTCTGTTAATTTTATTTATTGTCTTGACTCCAAGCTTCCGAGTCGCTGCTAAAGCTGTGGCGTATATGACGTTGTTAACTTCTGTGATGTTTCCCGGTGGTTTATCTGTTAACAGTGTTTCCCGAGCAGCATTGTATATTTTCACGATGTGCTTGTTGGGATTCGTCATATGGATTTTGGGGAGCTGGTCTCTGTCTGACAATTGTATGAAAGTTATTCTGCTGAGTACTTGGATGGCGTCATTTTTCGCTTCGGTGATTTCAGCTTCGTGGTTTTCAAGGAATTCTAACTTATTGTCACTGAAGATGACTCCAGGCACATTTTCTGGAGGACTGCAGGTTGTGTTTAAGGTAGAGTCTTGGGTTTCTTTTCCTGGGAGATTATTTCGTATTTCATTCGCTTTAGCGTCCACCTCATCCTCTGTTGCATTCCTTATTTCTACATTCGTCTCAATAGAGTTTGAGTGATGGGTCATAGTTTTTTGACTTATATCTAATTTTATCTTATCTATTTCTGCCTTTGAGATTCTGTTGTTTCGCATGATGTCCCTACGGACGTTGGCAAGCATGTTTGGATTGAGGTTAGGTCTTATATCATTTCCCACCGTACTTCTCCATATTTGGTATGATGATTGGTGGTGTTCTTTGCTGGGTTTTCGAGTGCAGTGAAGAAGGATGTCATGACTTGTCGATACACTTCGCGGCTCCATTTCGTTCATTTACTTTTTTATTAGTCGATTTGGTATTGAGTCACTTGGTCCAAGGTTGGCAATAATCCGGGTTTGGTGACCTAGTGTCTCTTCGTGGGTGGAAGAGTTTGTTCCAGTGACAGACTTTTTGTCCTCAGAGTGGTTCCTTTCTGAGCGACGCGGCCCTTGTTGTCCCGGTTGACGGCCGATCCGGTATGAAATATTATTCGTATTTATTGAAATTGGTAGAGATGCCTTTTAACCTTGACCGCGAAGGGGTAATTATGTTCAGGTTACCAGCTTTAGGACGAGTCTCGAAGAAGATACAAGAGCACGCCCAAACAATGAGATCGTGGATTTATTAATATGACAAAGGTCGAATAGTTCATAAGAGTGTATGGTATTCAGTGGGGTAGACGATACTAAGTTTTAACTTAGTATAAGTCGGAGTGACCACTCCAAGGGGGATAATCAGATTTTATTATATAGACTTAAAAAAAAAAGGAAAAAGAAAAGGGAACTGAAAAGGAAAGAATTAACTTGAGTCAAAAGAATTTACAATCATAGCAAACTACAGGAAAAGTAGCATTCAAAAAATGGTACATTTACCATTTCATACAAGTTCGGAGCATGGCAAACATGGCACGAATGTTTAGTTTTCCGTCGCCAACGATAGATACTTGCCAAATTTTATGGGGTAGGCTGGACTTATACTACAGATTGGTAGGGGGGATATCAAAGAATTCATTAAACAAAGGGGTAGAAGCAAGGGAATAAAAATTATTCTTTTCCGGTCATCTCAACCTACCAGCCGCTAACAGATATATTTTTAAATTTTCACTCAAAGACATGATAGTCAAAGGGCAGAGCATTGTAGGAAAATTACACCTGTAGCCATGAAAACAAAATAAAAAAATATAAAATAATAAAAAAAATACAATATGATGATGAGATTATATATATATATATATATATATATATATATATATATATATATATATATATATATATATATATATATATATATATATATATACACGAAAGAGAGAGAGAGATACAGATATTAGTAAACATGTACACATACACGCACCGACAGAGATATGGGATGCCTAAGGTAAGAGGAAAAAAAGTGAAAAATAGACACGTATGTCCGCTTAAGGTCGGAGGGGGGAACGGAATTATTATTATTATTATTATTATTATTATTATTATTATTATTATTATTATTAACTTTATATTTCCTATATTTTTATAGTTAAGTTAGATTGATAACCATAAATCATCGACCAAACACATGGAAACAAAATAAATAAAAATAAATTGTATAAACACATTTACAAATTCTCCATTTTGCATAAGAGCCACCCAAATAAAATACATCAATTCCTATGGAATCAATCACCACCTATTGCTCATTTCTATACGCGCACTGCTTATATATCAGTAAAAGACATATCAACTATATTCAGCAAATGCCCACTATATATATAAAAAATTTTTAATAAATATGGTATAAATTAAACATAGAAAAGAAAATTCTTATGATTCTTAACAATTATTTAGATAAAATAACTGGGCCTTGTAAAAACGGTATTTATCTACTTATGTATAGGTAGATATTCTTTCCGTAAATAAAATAAAAATAACTAAAATCTTTTTTATATAAGAAGTATAGAAAATACATGAGCAATCATTTTGCATTTGATTACCGCATGGAAGATGGTTCGAAAACAAGAATAATTTTTAAATGAGTGGCTGTTAAAAAATGCGAGTTTGTCTGATGATCGTAAAAGCGAGAAACTGAGGATCACAAATTCATATCTATACAACTGTATATCAATCTATCTATCTCTCCAGCGCTCTCTCTCTCTCTCTCTCTATATATATATATATATATATATATATATATATATATATTGCTAAAAGGTTCGTTAATATTAGGATAATTATTTTCGTAACACGTATATACACAAATATATATATATATATATATATATATATATATATATATATATATATATATATATATATATATATATATATATATATTAATATGGGTAATTTACCCTTTCATATCTCAAGATATGTTTGTGAAATTTTGTAAATATATCTGTTAAAATGAGTTGTCAATGTTATTTTCATTTTTGCATAATTTAAACGACAATTTATCCGTAACTCCGTTTCTGGCAGTGAAAGTGAATGAGAAGTCTTGACTAAATACGTTAAACGAGCAGGATGCAGAAAGACAGTAGATAGGCATTGATTTAAATTATTGAATATTCTACGTAGCAGGGAATCAATGAAACGGAATAGAGTTCAAACAGGCGAGAAGTATGAGAAAATGAAACTGTTAGACTAGAATTCACTTGTTGATAGTTATTTCAACAGTATTAGTTTGAGAACTAGCTGACAATCTAGTGTTACCCTAGCATTCGAGCAGTCTGTGTACCATGGTGGAAAGCTCATCAAATCACTTCTCATGAAAATATTTGTAAATAAGACAGAAGGAAGTCAAGACCAGCTTGTGCGTTATAGTCTGAAGTGTTGTGGTCAAGTCTTAGTTGATTATATTACCTACCATTCCTTGGACTTTATCAAGAATCTCGTGCTATATTTCAAAAGCAAAAGGCCAGATAAAGCAATAGTATTCAATGCACGGGCGAAACCGTAGATTTTTAAATGTGTAACATGCATTCTGCTAAGAAAATTTGCCAAGGAAGACTTACTGAACCAATTTCGTAACAGTAAACATAGTATGTGATTCACTATAATCTTTCCACTTAATTTTATCGGAAAACTTTAGCCCAAAGAAGGTGCAAGGAATCACTTTTCAGGATGTTCACACCGACCATGCTTATGGAAAGAAGAAAAGTTTCTTTTTGGTAATTAAATATTAACAGTTTTGTTTTGGTGGCGTAAAATTAAAAAAAAAAGTCTCTCCTTGCCCCAGTTAACCACTGTTAACCTCATTTTCGAGATCACATGCCACTTACAATTTAATGGACATGTCAGATGAACGATGAAGACAAAAGTAAATTTTACTAAATTTAATCCAGAAGCCTTTTAATGATTCACTAACACTACAAAGGTTTTTTAACAAAAATATGTTAAGATCACACAAAACCATAGAATAACAACAATATATTAAACAAATATATTTCTAACAAAGTCAGCCTGAATATTTATAAAAACTAATACAATTGCCGAAAAATATGATGTGTTCTTTGAAGGTAAATGTATGACATAATATTGTATACCGAACGAGTGTATATTCCGGTAACAAGGTTAAATATTTTGCGGGTTCCACTGAAAATCCTTGGAAATTTCGTTTCTTTTGTCTTTGTATTTTGGTGAAGATTCAAAAGCATTATCATCATAATTCTTGCTATGAAAAGGTGTGTTCTTGGGGTCGCTGCGGAGTTGAGCACCTGAGCAGTATCCTCAATAAATATATTGAGATATATTTGATTATGATTAGCATGCCTTTGACAAGCAGACCTGTCGAAACCGATCCCTCTCTATGTCAAATCGCAACAAATATCCTCAACATTAAAATCCGCTCAGCGATTCTTTCTATGATTATTAAATATCAAATAAGTTTTCATTATATTGTTTTGCCAAAACTCAAACATTGGAAAATAAGTAGTATTTAACTGCTGGGTAAACTCCGGCCGACATCAAAAGTATGAATTTCCATTTTTGGTTTGAGTCTTGTAAACATTAAGCATCAAATAAATATATTGTTTTTTGTGATTGTTTTCCCATTACATCCTGTCTTGGCACAGATGGCGTGGTTTAGCATTGAAAGCGTTTCAAATTCGGGAAAAATTCCTTTAGGTACTTGTATGAAACCGATCAACTGCTTGAGTATTTATTCTCGGTTTCTTTACCTGAAAATTGTCTAGGGCATTGGTTTGTAGAATCTGGCTGGTGTAACGAAAGCACTGGTCTTATGGTCAGTATTGCGTATACGTGCGTCCCTGAGAGCGAAATGTTTGATGTGTAATATTATAACTGTGAGGAACCCAGCATGATCCGCAACGTGCAGCATGGTCTATACACATCAAATAAACGAATCTTGTTGGCAGTGTTTTTGTTTTTCCAATTTCTAACACGACCTGCTGCTTTCAGATCATATCCTCCGGCTTTTATTGATCGCAGCATTCTTTCTATTCATGATGTTTATTCTCAATTCTGTCTTCTCTTCAGTATTCATTTTCGTGTACTTCCGTTGAGTCTTCGGTTATTTTAATCAGAACAACGCTCTGAAAACTTGTTTGAACGTTTACCGCAACGGGATGGGAAAGCAGTACCAATTATACACTTGTTAAGATTATAATTAACAAAAATAAATGAAAGATGTACGGCCATATCACTATGAAACAGCGGTTCCGTTAAGATTACTAAACTTAAGCAACTTCGAGCCTGATCAATATCTAACATTTTGACCGCTTGAGGATACCAGCTGCTGTAAGCTTGGGTGATCAGATGATATAAAATGAATTACGGCTCGGAATTTTTAATGAGAAAGCCAAGTTACAATACCCCGCTGGGTATTTACCTACGCGCAAATACACTTGGGAATAGCACGAATTCATCAAATCTCCCCCAGATATGTGTTAATTATTAAGAATTGTATCACTAAAACATGATATTCTCAAAAACAATTCTTACATTCTAAAAATATTTTCTAACTTGAAATAACACGCAAAGCGTTGATTAATCGTAGTAAACAATCAATTGCATAAAAGATTTTGTCAGATTTGAATATTTCTTTGAATATTTCTCACATAAGAGCCACTCAAGTTAGAGTTTTAGAAAATGATAGCAAGTAAGAAAAGAAAGTCATAACTGAAGTGTATGGGGTTATGTAGGAAAGAAAACGGTAACCTTTGACTTGAAGATTTTGATCGTGTAGTGATCTGGGAAACATCATATCGGTAATCTGTTCCATGGCTTAGAAGTTCTTGAGGAGATATCTGAATGGAACTTTGTTTTTCCTAATTCTATGTAAAGGGAACGATGAGGATTCTTCCTAGACTAGTGGTTATTCTTGTTTTAAACAGTGGATGTGAAGACTGGTGAAACTAAAGAATGTAGCACGTTAGAACAATTGCTATGTTAATATCGACAGAATAGCGAAAGATTTGCGAAGTTGTCACCTGGAAAAGCGCGGTTGCGGAAAATAATTCATCACCCAGAAAATGCGGGTGGACCAATGATTCGGCAATTGTTATCCGTGATGTTGAAAGTAAGTTAACTGTTAAAAAGTTAGCAAGTATGGTAAATTGTAATATTATATGCTTATTTATATGTAAACATTTGGCCTTCATTGACCGTACAGCCAATACTAATGTCGGTTGAAAACTAATAACTCTTTCTTTTTAAAATAGCTTTTCGGAAAATAGTTTCATCAGGACTAGTAATTTTTATCGTTTTTTCCAGTCTTCTTCTCTTAAAGATTTGTTTAAACTAGAGTGAAAATTATACGTCTTGATTATGTCATTTTTTTTATCTTTCTGCTATCCATTTTAGATTTGCGGCTGTTAAATGACCTCAAGTGAAGTGCCTTCTGCTATTTGATACTGTTCTTTGTAATTCTCAAAAAACAGTCCACAATGCTGAAATAAAAACACACAGGTTTCATTCCTATGAAGCAATTTATAACAAGCGATCATAGAATTTGGTTGAATATAGCAAACTGTTTAGATATGTCATAACATTTTTGACTGCATGCATGTGATACATATCACAATAACTATCGCATTAGGCAATGTAAGAACATGACTCGAGATTTCAGGTTAATTCTTGCGGTGATGTACTAGCGCTGCCTATTCTATGGCGAATTTCCTTATTTCCTATAGAAGTAAGTCAAAACAGTTTTGTTAGTAGAATGTATAAATTTGCAAAGAATGCTATTACTGTACGCTTGTGCTCTTTGTTACTTTTGCATTTTAGAGACCAAACGCAGCCTTGTTATATATATATATATATATATATATATTTATATATATATACAATTATATGTACATTCGTTATGTACATATATATATATATATATATATATATATATATATATATATATAGTCTTACTGGTTTATTTTCTCTTTTTAATCAAAGTAGCATAGACTATATAAAAATTGTCTTCCGTTTCGTTACGTTGAGCAACTAATGCTTTTTGTGTCTTGTTTTTTTTTAAATATCCCTCTTATGTTCATATAGTTTTTGTTTACCCTTCTTGGGGTTTCTCCAATATATATTCATTCTTGAAACTCGTGCACTTGATAGATTACAGTCCACAAGATTTGGTTTGTTTTTTTGTTTTTATTAAGCCTGTGTTTGTTTAGGTGTAGTTTAGTAAAGGTAAATTTCCTTCCAAGTTCTTACAATATATATAAGTATAAGATTGGTGTATACGGAATAAATTCCAATAACCAAAAATACTATTCTTAACAGAGTGGTCAATACAGAGTAGAGCAAATATAATTTATTAAAAAATTATGACATAAAAATGTTATAAAATCACTACAAAAATAAGCATCAAGTGATGGGGTTGAATGTAAAATAAGGAGTTTTAAAAGTTTCAGATCAAACATAGACCCATCTGTTACGTAAGCTTGTCTTTGCGACTGCGTGGTCCCACACAGTCCTCTGGCCTGTGATGGAACAAATGCATTAAATCAATAGCTTCATCCACCGCAAAGAAGTTGGTTTCTTTTGTCGCTCCAGAAAGTTTTTTCTCACCCGAGTCCATCATCCAAATCTATAAATCAACTATTCGCCATTGCATGGAATACTGCTTTCATATATGGTATGGTGACCCCGCTGTACGTCTTCATGTCCTCGACAATATCTAGAGACGGATATGCATTGAGATTACCTTGATCTGGAATCACGTTAACAGTCGCCCTCTCACAGACGTGACATCGCCCCCTTCTGTCTTTTTCTACAAATATTTTCACGGTAACTGCTCTGACGAGCTACTTTCGCTAGTTCCCAGACTGCATGAATTTAAACGTCCAACTGAGCTGACATCTCAACCCCACCCGTTCATTGTCGAAACAGTTAAATGTAGCCGTCTCTTCTACTCCAAGAGTTTCATTTTTCGCACCTCCCATCTGTGGAATACCTATTACTTGTTTCCCTTGTAGCTATGGTCTCCAACTATTCAAATAAAATGTGAATCGAATCTCCAGATTCCTTGATCTACTCCCTGTCTCTCTCTTCATCTTTTCCTCTATCACGTTCTCTTTACTCTCGCTCTCATTCACTATAAGCCGTTTCTTGTGGTGAAATTCTTAAAAAAAAAATTTGTTTAAATATTTTAATAGTGCATTTGCATTCGGTTACTAACACTTTCAAACTTGAATCTTTGTGGGTGTGTATATGTATATTTCTTTATTAATGTATGTGTGTATGATTACTGATATATGCCTTTCATTGTATGTATATGTTGTCTGATTATATATATTTGTTTTACATATTTAAATATGTTTACGTGTTTGTGTATTATAATCTGATGGTGTATGTATTGACTTTACAAGATTTTTTCCTCCCCTACCCATATCACATTCAAATGTACCTAAGTTGTAACGATGTTTTATATCCCCATTGGATTAACTTTTATTCTAACTGAGATTCCATTTAAAACAAATAATAAAATATATGTATTTCTTCCTCAGTTTCTTCTTTAAATGCTTTTATAATATTTTAAACATAATGCAGATTAAGTTTAAAATTGGTAATATTTAATTTTCAATATTATTGTAAAATATAATATTAATCAGTCTAACAAAATTTTTTCAAATATTCAGTCTTTTAGATAGAAAATGAATAAATATTCTCTTTAATACATTCAGTGGATCGACTCAATAAGAAATAAAATTAAATTCATGCCTCTACTTTAAGTAACGGTAATTCTCTTCGGATAAAATTATTGATATTTGTTACATTTGAACAGTATTTAATTCCTCCCCAAAAAATGTGCATTTATATTTTAAGCACTTGAACATTTTAATATACTGTGAGTCTATATAAGAAACTAGTACGTTTTACCAGCCGCTAAAGTTTCTCATATGTCCTACTGAGAAATTAGTCACCTTCATTACTACACTTAGTTCTTACACGCGATTCATATATATTCGTATTACGGATATGCGATGTAATTGGCCCTGATCTGGCATCTCGTCTGCAGCAGCTCTCATACAGACGTACCGTTGTCTCCCTCTGTCTTTTTCACAAATACCTTCACGGTAACTGCTTCGATGAGTTGCTTTGACTGTAGAAACTGTTACATGTAGCCGTCTCTTCTACTCTAATAGATTCATGTCTCGCACTTGTTGCCTGTGGAAATTCCTCCCCAGTTTTTGTGTTCCTGATAGCTATAATCTCCAACTATTCAAATGTAACGACAACGGCCGTCTCCAGATGCCCTGATCTATCCCCTAACCGTCTCTTCATCGTTTCCTCTATCATTCATCTTTGATCTTGCTCCAACTCTCGTGGCGGGCTACTGGCTTCCCGCCTTGTTTGGGATTGAATGCTTTAAATATATATATATATATATATATATATATATATATATATATATATATATATGTAAAATAAAAAGGCTTAAACACTAATATTCCAATTTTATTCTAATATTAATTTATTACATTGGAATCGTAATTACGATCCATTTCATCAGACTTACAAATTCGAAAAAATTTTGAATTTGTAGGTATGATGTATTGAATCGTAATTACGATTCCAATGTTATAAATTATAACCATGGAATATTAGTTTTTAACCTTAAATTATATTCTGCCTCTGTCCTTGACATTGAGTTCTAACTGGATTCTATCCTTTTGGAAATTTATATATATATATATATATATATATATATATATATATATATATATATATATATATATATATATATACATATATATATATATATATATATATATACATATACATATATATATATATGTTTGTATGTTTGTGTGTATATATATTTATACTATATATATAAAATATATATATATGTGTGTGTGTGTGTTAACCAATAATATTATATATATATATATATATATGTGTGTGTGTGTGTGTGTGTGTGTGTGCGTATATGTGATGACAATATATATATATATATATATATATATATATATATATGTTTTTTGATATAGCAAGAAATATTAAGGAAATTATATTCGATCGTCTGTAATAATTAATACAAATAATAAATATGAGAAATTCAAAGGAATATATGAACACACAAGATACAATTTACGAAACGATACACTGGTTGTTCACCGTAACGAGACAGACCAGAGTTTCGCTATATAAAATGGTAATTTGATGAAAGGGGGAAACAATTCACTATGGCGAAAATGTTTAGAGAGTGCGTTGATCCCCAGGCCATCCAATAAAATTTTGCGCCAGGTCTCTTACAACAATTCACCATTCCTAGCAGCACATCTATTATAACCGTGTGCGATATCTACTAACAATAGAGATGGATAGAAATATGGGGTATCTTTGATTTTCTTTTCTATATTTATATGGTCTGGAATAATTATATTGAGCTCTGTTTAAGTATTTATATTATTAGTATTCGCATAGATTATTTACCCACTGAATTATACCTTTATATATATATATATATATATATATATATATATATACATAGGAGAGAGAGAGAGAGAGATGGATAGATAGCTATATATATATATATATATATATATATATATATATATATATATATATACATAGGGAGAGAGAGAGGGGAGAGAGATGGATAGATAGATGCTAGCTATATATATATATATATATATGTGTGTGTGTAGGATGAGGATGAGAAAAGAGAGAGACATGGCTAGTTACATAGACACATATACACGCATATATATATATATATATATATATATATATATATATATATATCAGGAATTATATAATCTGTTGAGAAATACGATATTGAAATTTAATCTCTGTTGCATTTTTTATTTCTTTGTTAATATATTGTAGCTGCGAAATTAAATTATAAGAGGTGGATATAAAATCTACATTCGTCCTGTCATACCTCAATATGATATTACATATGCGGAAACGTCATCTTTGAATTGATAAGTAAAAGAGACACTTCAGAATGATGGAAATTGAACTTAAATTATACATTACATTATGATGTGCCAATCTTTCTCTGTATCATCCGTGCACATTTCTTATCGTTTGGTTCGTTTGTGGCGTACTCTTCAGGACGGAAGCATGATGACAAAAATTAATCGGTGAAAATAGTGACGTCATCAGAAGAATATATCTGTCATGTTTTTACTTAGTCGGGCGTAAGACAAAATTTGATTATTCCGACGTCAGACTTATGACTTTAATTTGATGAAGAGAGACTAAAATGACAGTTGAAATGTTTAGAAGTTGATGTTGTAATTTATTAAAATATGACAGAAAAAGTAATATTTAAAGATATACTGGAATAAAGTATTAATATTTTAATAATTTAATTTAATAGATTTTAATAATTTTTAAAATCACCTTATTTGCGTGTTAGGTGTGAATGCTCGAGCTTCTTCTGTGTTCCAAATTATATTAGTGGTTCTAATTCTTGTTACTATATTAGTGGTTCTAATTCTTGTTATGTCTATTTTAGAATATGATTAAGCAATTATTTTGAATAGTTGCTTATATGTCTTTACGAACTTTTCATTGACTGATGATGACATCTATCTATCTATCTATCTATCTATCTATCTATCTATCTATCTATCTATCTATCTATCTATCGTAGTCTGTTCCTATCTATTTCCGTGTGTTCAACTTTCTCTCCATTCCAGTCTGCTCATTTCTATCTATCTATCTATCTATCTATCTATATCTATCTATCTATCTATCTATCTATCTATCTATCTATCTGTCAGTCTGTTCACCCTTCTCTCTATTTCCGTCTGTTCATATCTATCTATCTATCTATGTATATATCTATGTCACATAGATGACATTAAGATATGCCGTTTGCGTTTAAGCATGAAACACATTTTGTCCGTTAGGTGTTGACTTCAATGTCCACTTTTATATTTAATGAGTACATTTATTTTGTATTTCTTTGACCCTAACTACCAGGAATGACTTCAATGTGTCTATCAGAAACTTTTCCAATGAATCCAAGCTGTAAATACAACTTGATGTCCTTGCATGTTGATAGTTTTTGGATCATCATCGAAAATCCAGTACAATCCGCAGGTAACTGAACGGCAATAAACACGTTTGTGTGTTCTTTGATCACGATGTCTGGGAGATTAGTTCATAAAACTGTTATTATCATTCCCTTTCATCACATTTTCAAAGATGCAGAATCGTCGGGTCTGTTAAGGTCATCATCAGATGTACTTAGATTTTTAAATCATGTCTTGGTGTTCCCACTACTTGACGACAGATTTTGTTGCAGAATTCTAATGATTTTATGAAGATTTAATCTCCGTCTTCTTATGATAAAATCTCTTCAAGTCAAATCCAATATCCCATTCACTGAGGAAAATTAACAATTACACACACAGACGCGTAGATAACCTCATGGGAATATTTTTTTCCGCTATGGCAAATTTATTAAAGGCATGCTTTTAAACTACATTGGTCATCAACCATGTCAAATGAAATCAATAAAAAACCTATTTTCAATGTTTTAGAGATGAGAGGTTATCAGAATATAATGTTCTGATAAAAGAAGTTATGTCAAACTGGGAGGAAAATAATTTACTTAGGAAGTAATTGTAGAAAATACATAAAACAAATGGCGGGTATTTGTTTCCTTGTTACCAGAATTTGAGTAAATAAATACAGGTTTTTCTATTTCACTGAAGCAGATGCTAAATATAAGAGAGTATAATAACCTCTTCTAAATTTGTTTTTTTTTCTTCATTCCTTACTTCCTTCCTCTCTTTCTTCCTTCATTCATTACTTACTTTATTCTTTCCTTGCTTCATTCCTGTAATTATTCCTTCCTTTCCGCCTTCCTTCCTTTCTTTCTACTGTTCTTTCTTTATTTCATTATTTCTTTAATCCCTCCTCCCGTTCTTTCGTTCATTTCTTCCTTGTTTCTTCATTAATGTCTTTCTTTCTTTTCCGTTTACTTTCTTTTTCTGGCTGAAACGAAAAAAAACTTCTCTGATGAATCTATTCATTCTTTCGTTTTAATGAAATCTGAATAGTTAATCATTAACTTCAGAGTGAAACGATCTAAGATTATAATGTTAACATTCTCAGCGCCCTCAAAAAAAAACTGTAATCATCCGTAGATATGAATATCATTTTCAGTATATAATTTAGTTCGTCCTTACGACAACTGTTATTTTAGCACGTATACAGGCACTTCGAAATGGGGTAATTTTCAGTAATTGATTAATCAGTTCTATACTCTCTGGATGTTCAATAGATTCGGATTTGTGCCACATCTAAACTACACTTAGTAATTCGAGATTTTAAAATGTTTTAATAACCTTCTCAGTTAAGTGAAAAACAGCAAAAGTAACTTCTACCAGCCTAGGTAAGTCTTATGAAAGAAATATCCTAACTAGCAGTTTTTAAGCATGCATCCACCATAATTTTTTTTTCGTTTTGAGACCCATATTTAGCCCGCCTGTCTTATAATTATGGTTGGGGCATCCTTAAACAAAGTGAGGTTCAAATACTCTTTTAAAGAAAAATATATTCTTAGGACATTTTGATTTTAGTATCTTCTAAATTAAATTCGTTTATTTTCGTACAGAAGAAATATAAGTAAGTAATGAACAATGTTTTCTAGTCCAAGGATATTTGTCATTCATATATATGTTATTTTAGATAAAATATGTGTTTGAACTGATATCCGCATCATTGTGAGATGAATTATTTCCCAACCTATAAAACTCTCCCCTTAGACGAGACGTCGCAAGCATTTTCTGCTCTATCACTATTTCCAAGGAAAGTGTTCAGATGAGCTAAATGCTTCAGTTCCGCTATTTTCAATATATGAGAAAACGAAATGAAATGTGAAAAAAATAGAGAAAAAAATAATAATAAAAGCGAAGGAAACAAACAAAAAGAAAATAAGAGAAATGAATTGGGTTAGAGGATATGTCCAAATTATATATCAAATTAAAAACAAAAAATAATTAACGTCTCCCTTTCCTTTATTTCTGTATTATCATCAGAGTAAACATAAAATTCATCATATGAAGTGAGAAAGGAAACAGGCATTTTACAATTTGTCATAATTCTTTCCCTAAAAAAGTTCTAGAAAAATATACATGGAAAAATTAACATTCCGAGAACTGAAGATGCATGCATGAAAAAAAAAAAAAAAACACGCATTCATTGAAAAAAAAATCGAAATAGTCCTTTCGTAATGGCTAAAAGATTAGAGGAAAACAATCGGACATTTTGTTAATTTTCTTTTTGTCTTCAGAAGAGAAATCACATATACGAACACAAGAAAAATGAAATAAAAATTCTAATGGTAGTACCTTGTCACTCATCTTTTAGTAAACTTTAATGAAAACGGGACTGATACCAAAATCCATATAATATATATATATATATATATATATATATATATATATATATATATATATATATATATATATATATATATATATATAATATTGTGTGCATGTGCGTGTTTCTGAAAATAATAATCCTATTATTAGTTAAATTTGCCATATATATATATATATATATATATATATATATATATATATATATAATAGTCGATTCTACCATCGAGATTCGACGTATGAGGGTCAAGCAGAACAGTTTCCAGGAAACCGACAGCCCGAAATCGTCACATGAGATTTGATTATACTGGTGAAACCTCGTGCAGGCCATCCACACTTTTTAAAGGGACGAATACAGAGACCTGGTGCACTAAGTGCCCTCAAGTTTTGAATTCAGAGTTGTCCTTCTCCTAAACCAGTTGCCATCCAAGGCTATAGAACCTAGTCTGTGTTATATATGTATATATATATATATATATATATATATATATATATACATATGCTGTGTATAATAAAGAAAGTAATAAATGGTGTGTGTATTTATATATATAGATATGTGTGTGTATATATATATATATGTGTGTGTGTATATATATATATATATATGTATATATATATATATATATATATTTATATATATATATATATATATGTGTGTATATATATATAATTATATTTTATATATATATATATACATATGTCTCTATATGTATATATATATATGTGTGTATATATATATATATATATATATATATATATATATATATATATATATATATATATATATATATATATATATATATATATATATATATATATATACATATATATAAGTATAGGATTGTGTATATGAAATAAATTCCAATATTCAAAAATACTATTCTTAAAAGTTTGCTCAGTACAGAGTGGATATTTTTATAGTGATTTTATAAAATGTCAATGTTACAAATTTTTAATATATGTATAGTCTCTCCCTCCCTCTCTCTCTCTCTCTCTATATATATATATATATATATATATATATATAAACATATATTTATATTTATATATTCTAATATCATATGAACTATTTGAAGCTATAAACAATCTTCTAGTTGGAGCCAGTAATGATAGAGAAAGCTACAAAAATATCAAAATAGTTTGAAGGGCACCTTTCCAACATTACAAGAGCAATTAGGCAACAAATTTGGTAATCCCAGGCGAATCCTTTTGTGACCTAACCAATACCCAAAGGTCCCCTGGACAATGTTGGAATCAATATGCATATGTCTACATTGCAAAGAAATATGAACTTCATGGAATTCATGGAAAAATTTCTTGAAAAAACACACTGCATACGAAAAAGCACAAACAAGCTCAGATCAACTATGCCAAATCTCATATTAATAGGTCTGAAACGTTCTCGGAAAAAGTTTCATGGTTGGATGTGACGAAACCAGAGCTTTTTGGGAGAAACGATGTCTAGCGAGCTTTTAATACGGCATTTGTAGAGGAGTATATTGTGCAAGTAGTTAAATATGGCGGCGGCATCATTATGATTCTGTGATGTTTTTGTTCCAGTTGAAACGGCACAATTAATTCTGCAAGATACGAATCAATTTTAAACCAAACTATCTTTGCCGATGTTCAAAATTTGTTTATAGATCAGGGAGTGTTAATCCAAAATGACGATAATCGGATGCATCAAAGAAAATACGAAAAAGAATGTGTTCGATAATAGAAATTTCAACTTGGAATTGCCTAGACAAATTTCTTCTATGTAGCTAATTAAAAATATGTGATTCAAGTTAAAGAAGTCTGTCGATTGGAGAGACTCCGTTAATATCGAGAAATTGTGGGAGTTTTGCCGAGAAAATTGTCAGAAATTTACATTCATGTCTGCCAGAATAGTCTTAAAAATGATTGAAAAATCTGGTCGCCATCGCAACGTCAAATGGAGGACTCACCAAATACTAAATGTAAGCACTCTCTTAGTTTTGTCCATCACAATTTTAAATTAATTATTTAATTCCTCCTTCGCAAAAAATTAAGTGTTCTAATTTGATTAGTAAAGGAGTGTCTTAATAAATACGTAGTTCAATGAAGACTTTTTGATTATCTAGAACAAAGACACTATATTTTTAAAACTCTCATCTTACGTTTTCACTTATATTTGCAAAGAAATATATATATATATATATATATATAAAGTAACATGGATGCACATCAATATACATATATATATATATATATATATATTTATATATATATATATATATATATATATATATATATATATATATGCATCCATGTTACTTTTGCATCAGTATGTTTCCCTCGTATATACATATATTGTTTAAAAATATATTCCATCTATATAGACACAAAACACACACACACACACACAAAACACACACACACACACACACACACATATATATATATATATATATATATATATATATATATGTGTGTGTGTGTATATGTGT